AACTGCAGATGCTGGAGAATCCGAGACAACAAGGTGCAGAGCTGGATGAACACAGCAGGCCAAGCAGCATCATAGGAGCAAAAAGGCTGACATTTTGGGCCTAGACCCTTCATCAGAAATCAATATGTAGAAGGCCCTACTCTGGAGGGTGCAACACTGGACCTCCTCTTAGGAAACAAGGTCTGGGAAGTGACTGAAGTGTCAGTCGGAGAGCACTTTGGATCCAGAGACCATAGCTCTCTTAGTTTTAACATGGTTATGGAAAAAGATAGGACAGGTCCACAGGTTAAGATGCTAAACTGGAGCAGGGCCAATTTTGGGGCTGTTAGGCAAGATCTAGCAGAGGTCGATTGGGTGAGTCCGCTTCAAGGAAAAGAAACAACTAGCAAATGGGAGGCCTTTAAAAGTGTGATATCAAGAGTCCAGGGACTATCCCTGTCCGGGTGAAGGGAAAAGCTGGCAGGATTAGGGATCCTCAGCTGACAAGGGATATTGAGGGTCTGAGCAGGAAATAGAAGGCGGCATACATTGGGTTTAAGCCAACAGGCTCAAGTGAATCCCTCAATGAATATGTGTTGGAGCACACTTAAGAAGGAAATCAGAAGAGCAAAAAGATGCTATGAGATGGATCTGGCAGATAAGGTTAAAGCTAATCCCAAGAGGTTCTATAGCTATATTAAGAGAGCCGCTAGGGAGAGAAGGTCCCCCTTAAAGATCAGCATGGCCGTCTATGTGTGGAGCCACAGGAGAGGAAGGTGATTTTTAATGAACATTTCTCCTCAGTGTTTACAGAGGTGAGAATCATGGATGCTAAGGAAATAAGGGAAACAAGTGGAGATGTTTTGGACTGCATACATATTACCAGAGAGGTGTTTTCAGCCTTAAAGCACATTAAGGTGGATAAGTCCCCTGGGCCTGAGTAGGTCCATCCTCGGACATTGTGGGAGGCTAAGGAAGAAATCGCAGAGGTACTTGCAGAGATTTTTACTTCATTGTTAGCCACTGGTGAAGTTCCAGAAGACTGGAGGGGGCTAATGCTGTTCCATTGTTTAAGAAAGGTAGCAAAGACAAGCCAGGGAATCACAGGCCAGTGAGCCTGACATCAGTGGTAGGCAAGTTATTGGACAGGAGACAGGATCAACCAACATTTGAATATTCAAGGTCTGATTAGGGATAGTCAGCTATTTGGAATTCTAAATTCTAAATTAAAGCAAACAGATGCACAAGATCTGAACAACAATAAACAGAAATACATATCAGAACATGTAGATTCCAGCAGTAAAAATCAAGAATTCCTGCCAGCAAGATAAATTGTTCCTAAGGCATTTTGCAGCATATGGTCTGGTTGAAAAGAAACAGCTGAAATTTGCTTAACAACTTTATCTATCCAGCATTTCTTAATTAAATACATGGACTAATGCACATAAAACATATTCAAATATGCCTAAAGTGCTCAAATGTAAATCTACCTAAATATGCTGCTGTTGCACTTAAATTTGGCAAAATGTAGCTCAGCCACACTAGCTTTGGCATTTCATGAAATTCAATGAGCGTTGGTCACAGTTATTTCAAATAAGATGAACAACCTGACAAGAGTATCAGAACAGATTCACGTTGTGACATTTCACTAAACCAATACATCAGTTGATCAAGCTTACAGTTAATATTGTTTTAAAAAAAAAATGATCTGACAATTATCTTTTACATTCAGAAGGTTAAAGTGAGATTTGGTTATTTTCTTTCTGTCATGCAATTATTCATTTCATTTACATTAAGTTAATAGATTTCATCTTGCAAAATTACTAGCACTACCATTATAATTCTGACAGCGGAATAGTAAGTTTACCTCAAAATGTAAGAATTTAACCCGAAATTATGTAAGTACTTTTACAAAGACAAATCTACCAGGCAGAACGTTTATATACTTCATAATGTTCAGTTAGGTTTCAGAAGACTAATAAAAGTCACTGCCCTCTAATGTTAGAAAATTAAAATCACAAGTAGATGCTCCTTGTATGAAGAATAGTAATCTCTCGAAAACTACAATGGTAAAACTGAATAATTGCTTCAAAACATACCACCTGATACAAACTGTTACAACCA